CACTAACCATATTTAAAGTACTCAATAATTCAGCTTTTGGGCCAGGTGTGGTGTCTCATGCCTGTCATCCCAGCACTTTGGGAGGCTGAGGTAGGAAGATCACTTGAGGCAAAGGAGTTCAAGGTCCCATCTCAAAAAAAAAAAAAAAAAAAAAAAAAATCCAGGCTAATTAATCTTGGGTGGTCCCAAATAGCTAGGCCTGTAGTCCTAGCTATTCAGGACAGTAGCCACAAATGACCAGCAGCTACTATTTCAAACAGCACAGTCAGAGAACATTTTCCATCATCACAGAAAGTTTCTTTGGGCAGTGCTGGTATAGGTCAGTTTGGGGGGGAATGGATATTTTAACAATATTTATTCTTCTGGTGCATGACATGTGAGTTTATTTGTAGATAGTCTTTATGAGATTACAGAAGTTTCATTCTATTCCTTGTTTATTGCTAGTTTTTAATCATGAATGGATATTGAATTTTGTCAGGTGGTTTTTGTACATCTATTAAGATGGTCATATAGTTTTTCTCCTTTAATAATTTCGTTGGTTTTCACATGGTAAAATCAATCTTGAATTCTTGGGATAAAACCCTACTTGGTCATTATATATTATGTTATTATATACTGGGCTTCATTTAATGATATATGCCTTAAAAAGAAAGGCTATCTGCATTTATGTTTGTGAGGGCTTTTGGTCTGTATTCTTTTCAGGATACTGTCCTTATCTTGTTTTGGTATCAGGGTAATACTGGCCTCATAGAATAAGTCAGAAACCCTCCTAGGAGGGAAGATTTACTGATAATTGAGCTCTTACTCTGCACACTTTACATTCCCATAACCTTTAATCCTTATAACCATGCTAGGAGGTAGTAACGTCCTTACTTTTTGGGTGAGGAACCTTAGGCTACAATGGTCATTTCTTGAGGGCACGTGGCTATAATTGCTAGAGCCAGAATGTGATTCTCAGCTCCAGGGACTCTCTGAAGACCTGCTCCTGAATGAAGCCTCCCCTGATGGCTCCACAGCCCGGCTGTGCCTCTGCTGTCGCCGTCCTTCAGTCTCTGGGGCACAGCCTGGCTGCCTGTGCTGGGCTGTGCTCCCAGCTAGGGAGCATGTGGGGTGAGGCTACTCTTGCGTCCTCTTTGGCCAGTGCTGGGTGGGTTCTTTATCTTTCCTATTTTTCCTGGGTCGTGAGGGTTCCTTATTATCATTCCGACAGGAAGAAACTATGGAGCCTCCATAGAAACAAGCCTTGGATGGTTGCTGAAGACATATTCCCATTGTAGGTGGAACTGGGAATTGCCCAGAAGCTCAGCACAGATAATCTCTCTCTTTCTAGGATGCTTGGATATTAATTCATCTGTGAAAGGGGCTCGTTTTGTCAGATTCTGTGATGCATTCAATATTCCACTCATCACTTTCGTTGATGTCCCTGGCTTTTTGCCTGGTAAGTGGTCGACAGAGGAGGGAGGGGGCCAGGAGAGGTGGTTTTGCCCAGTAAGGCACCTACTTTATTTGGGGATTTTCTTATAAAATTCCCTAAGGACGTGTGACTTTTCCATATTCTGGGTGTCCAGAGGCAGGGCTGTGTGAGGGATGGCCCTGTCTGGAGGTGGGGAAGACCGCCCAGCTGAGAGTGGCAGACAAACCTCGTGAGGACTCTCACGGGTATCTAGTAACTCTTCCTCATGCCCAGGCACAGCACAGGAGTACGGGGGCATCATCCGGCATGGCGCCAAGCTTCTCTACGCATTTGCCGAGGCAACTGTGCCCAAAGTCACAGTCATCACCAGGAAGGTGAGGCCCTCACGCTGGAGGCTGTGACCCTGCTTGCTGCTGTGGTGGGAGGCCTGGCCAGGAATTTCTCCAGGGCTGGAAGGAGGGGTACTCCTTGTCTATCCTTAAAATGATCTTTTGAGGACAGCGCTTCCAGCCCTGCAGACACGCCCTACAGTGATGTCTGTGGTCTTTTAACACAAGGGAACTGAAAGCAGCAGTGGTAAAAAGCCAGGAAAAACAATGAACAGTAGCTGTGAAAGGCCTCACAGACCTTGGGCCTTTAGGAGCCCAGGAGGGCTGTTCTTGTTCTGTGTCCCCATTTCACCTGCCTTCTTGAGGTCTTTCAGGGAAATGATCTGGTTGTCTCAGGCTCTAACCATTCAGTATTTGGGCCTGTTCTAGGCCTATGGAGGTGCCTATGATGTCATGAGTTCCAAGCACCTTTGTGGTGACACCAACTATGCCTGGCCCACAGCAGAGATCGCAGTCATGGGAGCAAAGGTGAGGACCTCTAGCTTTCTTTCCCCTTTTCTGGGTCCAGGGACTGTATTCTTCTAGCAGGAGCTCAAAACACAGCTGGGAAATGTTGGAGAGAGGCCCCTAAGATGGGCCAGGACTGAAGGGAATAGGACCTGGACATTGGCAAGTCTCCCTGGGGCTCCAGAGCTAGTGCTGTCTCCTGTCCTATACTCTCACTCTAGGCACATGCTGGTGTCTTCATGCCAGGGTGGGTGGGGCAGGTGAAAGGTGTGAAAAGTGAGAGGGGCCCAGAGTGGGTTTTGAGATTGTAAGTAAAGGGGGTAGAGGGTTGAGTCAACTGAACTAATCTTTGGAAGGATTGGCCATTCCCCCCACCCAGCCCCACCTCAGCTTCCAGGGGGGCCCCAGAGCCACTGCTTTCCAGCCCGTAAGAAGCTGAACTGTAGTTCTGATGTGGCAGACTTTGGGCAAGGTACTTCCTGTTGCTTGACCTATTCCCCACACCTCCTCTGCTTTGAAATCGCTATTGGGGTTGAAGCAGGTAACTCCCAGGGCTCCCCAGAGCTGACGTAACAGGTGTTCTGACTTGAAGGCCAATCCTTCTACATTTGCAGTTCAGTCTTTCCTCCTCTGGCCACTGAATTGTATATTTAGCCTCTGGGTAATGAAAAAAGAAAACGGCATTTTTAATTCCCCTTGACACAAAGGACCATGGATTTAATATAGAAAAATAGGCAAAACATCTTGACCTTAAAGAAGGATGATGAGTGCAAATGGAGAGGGGTGGGATGGAATCTGGGAAGAGAAGCTACTGGCTTTCCCCTGAGCTGCCCTTCTTTTGGGCACAGCTGAGCACTCCATTGTACAGCCCCTGGGGTCATGATGGGCAACCCCAGGCAACACTTGCCTCTATGCTCTGGCCTTTGGAGCTGGCACTTCTCTCCAGGAGACTTTGATTCACCAAGAGTTTTGTAGCCACACACGGTAATAATGAGTAGGTCTGTCTGGGTTGTGACCTCCAGCAAAGTTCATTAACTCCTCTTATCACAGGGCGCTGTGGAGATCATCTTCAAAGGGCATGAGAATGTGGAAGCTGCTCAGGCAGAGTACATTGAGAAATTTGCCAACCCTTTTCCTGCAGCAGTGAGAGGTAGGGGACTGTGGTGTGGAGGGCAGCTTTGGTCACTTGCTCATTCTCTCTCTCTCCAAAAAGTCTCACATAACTACCTTTTGCTGTTGTAGTCTAATATGTTGACTAGTGAAGTTTGGGGCTATCTCTGGGCAGTCATTATTCAGGGACAGTGGTACCTTTGCAGGCTACTTTGGTAACCAGGAGATGAAAACAACATTGCTGAAGTGCGTAAATTTCTAGATGATATTTCAGTTATTGAGTGCTGTGTAAAAATCCACCCCAAAACTCAGTGGCTTAAACCAATTACATTTTTTTCCTGTTTGTGGTTCTGAGGGTTAGCAACTTGGTTTGAGCTCAGCTGGGTGGGTCTTCTTTCAGTTTTGCCTGGGATCACTGATACAGCTGTAGTCAAAGCTTGGCTAAGGCTTGATAGTCCAAAATGGCCTCACTTATGTGGTAGGTGCTGGCCATTACTTAGACTGTTTCCCCTGAGGTCTCTTACTGTAAAGGAGGCTAGTGCAGGTTTCTTTACATGCTGTCCTGAGGATAGCAGGGAGGCAAGGGAAGCTGCTAGGCCCCTGGAGGCCTGAGCATGGAAGTTGCACAATGTCACTTTTGCCACATTTTATTGGCCAGTGCAAGTCATAAGGTCAGGTGAAGGAATAGAATCCACCTCTTGTTGGGAGAAACAGCAAAACATTGCAGAAGGACTTATGTACCAGATGGATGGGAGGAATTGTAGCCATTTTTGAAAATATAGATGTATTTTCTTAATTTTATTTCCTATTGAATTTATCTTGGCAGGATGGAGGTGTTGGAGCAAGCAGGTTGGGGAGGGTGTAAAATTTTCCTTTTTTTGCTAAGTGCTCCTAGGCCAGAGTTTGGGGGCTTGCCAGAAGAACAGGCAAACTCCTGGGATGCAGGTTGGGTCCTGCTCACACTGTTGGCTCCAGGGATGGTGCCCAGGCTGAGTACAAGGTTGAGAGTGGGTGGGTAGAGGTGGCATCATCTGGGGATGCAGGTGATCTACTTCCTTTTCTGTGCTTCACCAGGGTTTGTGGATGACATCATCCAACCTTCCTCTACTCGTGCTCGAATCTGCTGTGACCTGGATGTCTTGGCCAGCAAGAAGGTACAACGTCCTTGGAGAAAACATGCAAATATTCCATTGTAAACAAATCAAAGGAAAGTAAACCAACAGCTGAATTACTGTCTGCCCATTTGTACCCCATCCCTGCCTTTTGCGGTCATGAAACCTGGGAATCTAAATATCAGTCATAACTTAGAATGGCTAAGGTTATTAAATTCTAGAAAAATCTCTTTTGTGCCTTATTGTAAGATTATTTACTTTTATAACGTAAAATCTTAATTGGCATTTTTAGCATAAATGTCATTTTATATGGTAGAAATATGAAAAATCAAACTAGAAAACTAGAAAGAAAACAGTACGTGATATTATCACCTAGAGCTGATCTTCACACTTCTGTATATTGTCCTTTTTCCTCCAATAATTAATTTTTCCTCCATAGACAATATAATAAGCTTTTAAGGCAAAAATACTTAGGCTTCAGTTTCCTTACTTTTAAAATGGAGATAATATGCCCTATCTCTTAATTTCCCCATGAATTGTTGAGGATTAAACGAGATGTTTGCAGTTATGGTACGTGTGTCTAGCAGAACAGATGCACAGTAAGGTATAGTACCCTATATTGACTTCAGTTGTTTCTAGAAATGTGTTCTCACATTTTAAAAAACTTTTTTATGTGAAAATTTTTAAGCCTATGGAAATGTTGCGAGACTTGTATTGTATACCCTTCACCTAGATTTCTTCAGTTGTTAATATTTTCTACATTTACTTCATCTCTTCCATAAATATATAATAATTTTTACTGACTCATGTGAGAGTAAGTTGTAGAATCATGACCCCTTTGTTCCCAAAACTTCTGTATGTATCTCCTAGGAACAAGGCCCATTGTCTTACGTATTCTGTCTTTCGTGACATTGACATTTTCGAGGAGTGATTTCTTGCCAGTTATTTTGTAGAATGTCACTCAGTTTGAGTTTTTCTGATTGTTTCCTGATGTTTAGATTTAAATAAGAGTAATACATAAGTGCGTCTGTATCACATCAGGAAGCCCATGATGTCATTTTTTCCAGATATTGGTAATTGACTCTGATCACATGGTTAAGGTGGTGGCTGTAAAGGTTTTTCACCATAGTTAACCATTTTCCCTTTGTAATTAATAACTAACTAATTTGTGGGGTATTCTTTAATCCTGTCTGCCCTATCATGTCTGTATGTATTAATTGGAACTCTAGGTAAGGAAGAGCTTTCCCTTCTCCTGTTTTTATCTTTTCAGTGTCAGTCTGGAGTCATGATTCTTTTAAAATTTAACGTTACTCACTTTGATATTCAGAATTACCTGATTTGGCTGGTGGGAGCTTCTTCAAGCTGGCTCCCCAGGTCCTTTTGATATGTCTCAGTAATTCTTTGAGTGTTTCCTTACTTTCTGACACAGAATAATGTTCCAGGCTCATTTTATATTTTCCTTGCCCAGCCCTGGAACCAGCGATTTCTCCAAGGAACCTTGGTTTCTTTTAGTAGGTATGTCATTTAGAGGCTCAAATTGACATCCCATTGATATTAGGGTATCATTACTTTGAGGCATTTTCAGCAGACAAAACTAGGAAAATTTATACAAATAAGTGTGTATACGTGTGTGGGATCCATGTACACATAAATACATTTATTGTGTTTTTTTTTTTTTTTGAGACAGAGTCTCACTCTGTTGCCCGGGCTCGAGTGCCGTGGCGTCACCCTAGCTCACAGCAACCTCAAACTCCTGGGCTCAAGCGATCCTTCTGCCTCAGCCTCCCGAGTAGCTGGGACTACAAGCATGCGCCACCATGCCCGGCTAATTTTTTCTATATATTTTTAGCTGTCCAATTAATTTCTTTCTATTTTTGGTAGAGATGAGGTCTCGCTCTTGCTCAGGCTGGTCTCGAACTCCTGAGCTCAAACAATCCGCCCGCCTCAGCCTCCCAGAGAGCTAGGATTACAGGCGTGAGCCACCACGCCCGGCCCATTTGTTGTGTTTTTAAATCATGAGTTCACACTGAAACTTTTAATTCCATCTAACACCATGGATTTTTCTTTGCCTTCCTCCATCTGTATTTATGTCTCTTTTCCCACAACAATAAACCTGGCTCCCATTATCTTCAATATATTTTACTCATTTGCTCAATAATACAATAAATACAAGTTTCAAAATCACAACTGTATCACGATAAACCTAAAGTTCAGGACTTTTTTTGTAGTTCTTTTTTGTCTCTAGTTACTTGAATTAGTAACTGAGTGGTCATTTTCAATGACTTAAAAGTTTTTCCCCCATTTCTGTTGACTTTATCTTACTGAGTATGTAAAGCATTAACTGTTACACCAGAGCTAGAGATTTTAAGTTGTGCTCTGCTCCATGAAGCTCCATGGGTGTGCCTTCCTTTGTGGCAGAGCCCAGGACCCTCCCACTACTGGTGACTTTCCCTTGTTCCAAGCCCTTGGCTCCCAAGGTCTGTAAGCACTGTTTGGACATTGCATCATTATGTCAAGGTCAGCTTAACATGGGACTATCTTTCACTTTCCCCATTTCAAACAGCCCTTTCCCCATTCTAGGTTACCCTCTTTTTTGAGCCACTTTCCTCCTCCCTCTTCAGTCACCATCCTTGCTGGGCTCTGAGTACTTACATAGCAGTCTCTCCACTGATCTGTGCTTTCAGCTACCAGACTAACTCTAGGTCCAGATTTTGTTGCATTCCTCTGCTCCAGCTCCAGCATTCCTAGAGGATAGCTTTCTGCTTCCTAAGTCCTTAGCCCATATAGAAGGTCCTGCTCTGTCCCTCCTTTGCATGCCTACTGAGTCCTCTGAGCCCACAGTCCAAACATCTTTGCCTTGGAACACTTTTGCTGTGAGAAGCTCTAAACTGCTTAAGTTCAGGGGCCTGACTTCTCCATTCATACGTCTCAACTGGTTAGCTCAAACTGATTCTTATAGAAGGCATTTTATAAAGCACCTGATTCTGCATTTCCTTTTTTTTTTTGCCTTATGTATTTTTTTCTTCCTAACTAGGTTGTGAGTTCCTAGAGGTGGCAGAGACTGAGTTTGATCAGAGTTTCTTTGTACTCCTCTTTGTACTCCTAGTACAGAAAGACTGTAAACCATCAGAAACACTATAAAGCACCGGAAACTGGGCAAAGGGTGGTGGCAGACTGCTGGGAAGGAAGAATCATTCGGGTTGGTCAGCTTGTGGCTCAACAGCATAAAATTGCTTGGCTAATCCAATTTCTGGATCAGCTAACCTAGGATTTGGATCCTGCTTTGGTGGTGACTCTGCTGTGGTCCATATAACAGCACACACAAGATGTTCTTTTTGGAGGAAAGAGTCCAAGAAGTGTTTCACCAGGCTGTAAAATCTGGACACTGAGAAGGGGCTGCTGTAAGATGGTAGAGGAATCAAGAAAGCACATGGGCGAGCAGCTCAGGGAACCCTTGGATGGTGAGGAAAGTCCTATCCAGAAACCCAGCTGGCCAAAGAAACGGAAAGTTGCAAGACTTTGGAAGCTTTGTCAAGTGGACCACCGAATGCCTTGAGTGGCGGCAGTTGAGTATTCTTGTTGGCTGTTGTGCAGGCATGCCTTTCCCACCTTTAAGGAAAGTGCCCTCACCCTTAAAGGGAAGAAGTGTTGAATTTTGTAACTAGTGAAGACTTGGGTTTACTGAGCAGAAACCAGGTAATACGGTGAAAGCTGTGGTATAGGAGGCAGTGTGTTAGGGTCTTGCTGGACCTACCCCTGCCTTGGGTTAAGTAAACCAGTTCCCCTCGAGCCACGCAGCTGATGCGTGGTGAAGTTGAGTTGAACCCAGACAGGTCTGATCCCAAGCCTGTGCTCTAACCATTCAAAGTACTGCCACTGAACTGATGAGGCAGGTGAGATGAACTCCTAAGGGTTGGGGTGAGAGTAGCAGTGAGAGAGAGGTGGTGGTCAGTTCCTTTGGGATTCTGTCTTAACCCAGAGAGCTACTGTTATACATTTGGGAAGTGTTCCTATCTCATGCATGAACCCACTACACAGTAGTACCAGCAGATGGCCATCTTTTTGAGTTGCTGGAGTAATGAGGAGCACATCCACAACACAGCCTTCTAGTGCTTGGCAGAAAGTACTTTTCTTGTGAAAAGTTCTTCCACCTTCTCTTTTGACCATGTCTTGGTCTTCTTAGCCCAATTCTCTGGCTGGGCCAGGAAAAAGTATCAGCGCATCCAGAAGCAAAGAAGCCTGTGAAAGATGCTCACCCACATGTGGAGTTAACATTCTTGATGGAGTTGAGGAGTCAGCCAAGACTTCACCTGTTTAACAGATGTGAATGTTTTTTCTGGTTCCAAAGGATTTCTGGAGAGCTGTGACTTTCTTTTGGTGAGAACTACTGGTCCTCACGTTTTTAAGCCTCTGATGTTGGCAAGGAGTTCCCACCATTTTAAGCAGGAGTTGCAGCCACTTGATGGCAGTGCCTCAGTCTGAGGCCTCTGTAGAATCCAGTTGGTGCATTCTAGCTGGTATGGCAGCCTCCATAAATTCTGACCGTGTCCCTACTGTCCCAGATGGTGAAAACATTTCCTTTATGTGTCCTTGGGAGCAGAAAGTTGCCTCCAAACAATGGTATGATATAGAGAGAGCAAGACTCTCCAGGCAGGGATAGAACCTTACCTGAGTTTGGTCTGGTATGAAAAGCCTGAGTGGGCACCAAACCTTTGTTTCCCATGAAGACATTCTTCCCTGCTTGATGCACTCTTATCTGGAAAAAGGGCCAAACAGGGAGTTACAGTCAGGTCACAGCTGTGAGATTTGCAAGCCTGACACATGGGGAAAGCCTTGGTTTAGTCTCGTAATCTTGTATTCTTCAAGATGCGTTGTCACAGACCCATTCTTATCATCTTCCCTTTTTGGCTACCTGGAGAGCTTACTTGCTGATTTATCTCCCACAGCTCTGCCTTTTCTGCATAGATATGGTAGGTCATTTAAGGAACTCAGCCCAAAGAACATGGCCAGTACCATAAAGTGTATAGGATGTGATTTCTTAAGGGTGAGGTCTGGCTCTAGTGACAAGAGAAACCCTCATTTCAACAGCTATGTTGAATCTAGGTGGTTTTCAAAGGGCCACTGCTATGGGACAACCATGCACATAAGCCCGGGATCTGGTTCTCAAGCAGGGAAGGACCCATCCGATGAGTCAGTGGATGTTCCCTGAATGCCTCATTCAACACTCAGCCTGTAAGAGACTCCCTTTGAAATCACTAATGACTTGGCTTACCCACTCTCTCTAGGCAAATTCAAGGAATGAAAGAAAATTAGTGAGCTAGTTCTAAATTTCTGTTGTTTTCTTAGACATAGCAAAACCTCACTAATATGGTAAACGTACGTACCATCATTGAACAAACTGTCTGAAAGAGCAAACTCTCAAGAACAGCACAACAGGAAATAGTCTCTTGAAAGCTTTACCTATTAGGAATAATAGGATGACTAGCACAAGCCTGATTTTTAATAGTTTATTAAAGGAAAGGTGAAGCATCAATTTCAAATTGTACAAAAGGAAAAAAAAAAACCTCATATTGCAAATGTACAATTTACAGAATTACTAGCAAAACCAATCAAGGAGACACTGAAAATACAAAAATTTGATTGACTTCAAACTGAACTGGAAACCCATTGGAGTTGCTATTAAGCCTTTTTTTGTTGCATGGTAGTCTGCAATTCTCTCAGCATCTGCTTTCCACATGAGACTGTCAAGCAAAGGATCGGTCTGTGCGTGTGCCAGGGTACCTCGTGGCTTGCTCCCTGGCCAGAATCACAGGCAGCCAGGGCTGGGGTGGACAGTCCAGTCATTCTTGCCCCTTCACTTCCAGTGAAGCCCAGATTTCTGGGAGAAAGTGAGGCTCCAGGTCCCCTAACTGGAGCCCAGGAATTGCTGAATTAGCAGATAAAACATTGGTGACCAACTTTTTTTCAGAACTATACAAATGTTGAGAAAAATCTCAGTTTTTGTTTACTAAAAGGATGAATAAAATCATCCAGTTTACTTTCCCACACAAAAGATAATCATTGGGTGCAACGAATTTTAAAAAAATGCTTTTGATTTGGTAAAAAGGGAAAAGCCTCATGATTCTGTTGCAGCTACTTTAAAAACCAGCCCAGAAATAGCTGTGGATGGATTGGTTTGGAAATTTTGACACTTACTTTAAAAATCAGAAAGGAAGAAACTAAGTGGGCTTTTTAAAAACAGCAATAGCAGCAAGTCATAAAAGTCTAAGCAGAATGTAACGCTAAACCATAAGACTGTCCTGAAGATTCATAATTTCTTTCTCCAAAAGAATTATTCTTAATATGCACATTTAACACTGAAATGTAGCTGTATTTCAAGGTAAGCTTAGGAACTTCACCCTCTAAGCACAGACTTCTATGCAGCACATACTTCTATAATCAGTAAACTTAATTCACAAAATTAGCGCATAAGGGTATTAAGTGCATGGGAAGTAGACATGGTTATGTTACACTTAAAATTACTTCTGAATGGCAAAGATTTCTTCATGATTATCTTAAGAAAACGGAAGTTTGTGTAACTTGAATTTAGCAGGGCATGAAATAATTGGCAAAAACAGCAAACTGATAACTTGAGAATCATTTTTGTTTTACTGAGAATACTTTATTTGCTGGTAGAAGTTGCTAAAAATGCACAGAACAAATACCAATAGAAAATGCACTGTATTTGAATCTCCCTATTCTATATAAAATGAACAGTGTACAGCATCTGCTGGAAAAATGGCTGCATGGACATTTCTTACTTTATGCCCACTTATAAATAAAAATAAACCTTTTTATTCAAGAGTATATAAAATCTGGGAATCCATATCCACAGAGGGTGTGTGGTTTTTGGCAGAGATGCACTATGTCAGAATTTCTTCTTAGCTTGTCAATGATCTGCTACTTCATATTTCTGTGTTCCACCAGGTCAACCAAATCCAGTGAGCTCCAAAACACTCTTCGGCAATTAGGATGAGCTGCTTACTCAAAGGTTTAATAAAAATGGTTAGCTTTTAAAACATAAAAAGGCAAAATGTTAAAACGGTTTTTAAATTGTACAACAGGAAAATAAAGTTAAAAATATTTTTTTTTTTTTTACTCAATGCTGTTTTCATAAAACAGGTGTATAACAGTGTTTATCTTGACAGCTGTTTTAAAAATTTAAAATTTCTTCCTCCCTCCAGAAAAACACACACATCTGTATTGGGATAAGTCCAACATTAGGACACAAATGATTTTAAGGCCAGTCTTTCTGAGGTGACATTCACCAACATTCCTGTGGGTAATTTACATGCTCCTCTTCTGTCACTGCAAAAAGGGATTGACCTTAATCATTTGATTAAAAAACAAATCAGATCACATCAAAAGTGTTTTTTCCCCATACAAGCTATCACAGTATATAGGCCTCTAGCTCTAAATAATAGAGTTCCAAATTTGTAAATTTTCTTCAGACTTCAGAACATAGGCATTCCAAATCCCTAGAAACATAATGAGAAACACAATTAGTTTTACACATACACAGGACCAAGAAACCATAAATTAAAAGCAGTAATAATTGAACATTTACTGAATCATCTTCTATGATAGCTGCAGAGTCAAAGAAGTCTGGCCTCAGCTCAGCTCTCTCTCGCCGATTTCTTGATGGAGGCTGGAAAGAGAAATCAGTTATTCTTTTTTCCCTTGAAATCATTAAGACAATGAATTGTGATAATTAGCTAATAATTCTGACAGTATCATAAAATACAAAACTGTTAATGGTCAATTTTGAAAGGAAAAAGAGAATCTGGCTATTACATGAAACAGATTTTTAAAAAAGCTAGCAGTACTTTTGAGTTTTAGACTTTCAAGCTAAAATGAATGAACATATAAATACATATGAATAATTTTGGGCCTACAAACACAGAACATGCTTTCCCTTTCAAGTCATGGAACAATTTTAAAATTGATCAAATCCTAGATGATAAACTTTAGTGAATTCCCCAAAGCAGGTAGATGGGAAACTCCTAGGGGTGAGGGTGGGGAGATTATAGATCAGAGTGACATGATCTCATTTGTATTTCTTACTAAAACTTTTCATTATGGAAAATTCAAAACATACAAAGCAGAATGTTATGGGCTGAATTATGTACCCCTCCCCCCAATTTATATGTTGAAGTCCCAACCTCCAGTACCTTATAGAATGTGACTGTATTTGGAAATAGGGTTTTTAAAGAGATAATTAGGGTAAAATGAGGTCAGATGGGTGAGCCCTAATAAAATATTACTGGTGTCCTTATAAGTTAGAGGAGACACATATAGGAAAAACATCTGAAGACAAAAGGAAGAAGGTAGGCAGCCATCTACAAGCCAAGGAGCAAAGCCTCAAAATGAAATCAGTTCTGCTGATACATTCATATCAGACTTCTAGCCTCCAGAAATGTGAAAAAATGAATTTCTTTTTAAGCCACCAGTCTGTGTAGTATTTGTTATGGCAGCCCAATACACAGAGAAAGCAGTATGATGAATTTCCATGTAGCTACCACCTACTTTCAAAAATTGTCAAACATTTGGCCAATCTTGTTCCATTGAGTCTCCTTACTGTTTTTTCTTCCCAATGTCATTTCACCTATAATCACTTAAATGTTATCTACAGCTGATGAAAACTTTTTAAAAAACATAACCACCATATATTACTATTCCTAAAAAAATAATCTTTTAGTATTACCTATATTGAGTCCATATTCAAATTTCCTTATCTCAAACATGTCTTTTTAATACTAAACAAATAAGTTACATATTCTGCATTTGGCTATAATGTTGGAGCACAGTATTTTGTCAGACTCTGTTGGGAAACAGGGCTAAGAGACGTGAAAGGTTTCAGGAGTTCTGCAGGGCTTTGCCTTGAAGGAATCTGTGGGCATGTTAGTTCACAGACTAGAAGCTGCTTCCAACAAAGGGAGGTACTGTCAGAGAACATCTGCAAAGCAACATTTCTTCGAAGCTGCAAGCTATCGCCTAGAGCTTACTGCACAGCAGAGCTCGGTCTGGGCCCAAGGCTGAGAAGCTGATTGAAATGCCTGCCCAGCAGACAACGTGCAGCTGGAACTATTAAACTTCAAGGCTATTCCTGCTTCACTCCTGACTACCTGTCTCTGTATTTAGAGAAATAGATTAGATTGGTATACAGACTCAGTGTTCCTGCTTTATACATTTTTATCTGTAATTTGTATGCTCAGCTAGGTTTATTATTAACTTAGGGCTTAGTGAGAATGTTTATCTTAGAAAAATTTTGTAACTGTCTATTCGGGAGACAGAATTAGGTAAGGGTCCCTTGAAAGCTTTGGGAAGCCTTGAAACCTCAACAAAAGAGGTGTACATATAGTTCTTTAACCAAGGACAACTACTTGCTGTAACAATAAATACTGATGTGGGATTTCACTTTGTGCCTCACAGCTCACGGGAATGCTGGAGGACCCCTAACTCCCCCATCACTTTAAACTGCACTTTGTCTTTGTCTCTATTATTTCTCTGCCTCTATTATTTCCAAACCTCTTGTGATGATCCTGCCCGGGACCTGTTTTGCTGGGAGAGTAGCTAACTCCTGGCAAGACTCAAATTTAAAGTACAAGAGGCCAGATACACATGCTATGCTGAAAGATCTGATGTGAGCTCTTTTTTCAAGAAGGTGAAAAGAATGTACCAGTTCCTATTATTGCCAGAATTAAAAATATGACAGCTTTGAAGGCAGGCTTGAAGAACACACAAGCTTATCCAAACACCCATTGTTGGTCAATGTTACCACCTCCTCACCTAACCCTTCCTCCCACAGGGTTCTGAGAACAAGAGGATTATCTTATACCAATGACATCACATATATTAACAAAATAAAAATGCAGTGAATTTTCTTACCAGATCAATAACCATGGTGTCTTCAAACTCTTCATTCATATCTTCTAACTGGCTCCGGGATGACATCATCACATCTTCAAAGATGGGCTCAGCATCTTCCTCCATTAGACCCCGACTGATAAGGAAAAGGTACAGTCAGAGCTGTTCAGACTTAACCAATTTGAAGTCCTGGCTCTTTCTTAGATTAGCTCTTCTAACCAATGGAAGTACACCTTTTAATCATGACCTATACAGACTATACAAATTATGATAGTGAACTCCAAGGTAATTAGGGATCACTCCATTGGTTCACTCAAGATTTCATCTCATCTCATCAGAAGGAAGTATAATTAAATGCAATAATGTTAACAGTTGTTAACATTTATTTAGCTCTGTGTCAATTCCCTCCAAATTCTGATTGGTACTATTATTGTCCCGATTTTACAAACAAACCTGAGGCACAGATATTTTAGAGCTTGCCCAACATAGCAGTAGGATTTAAATGCTAAAAGTCTCAAGAGCCTCCATTCCTATCCTATGCTGCATAGCATATTAAGCATTATAATTTTAACTCCTAAGACCAAACATCAGACACCCAAGTCATTCCACAAAATGACGAGCATCACATAGTTATGTTTTTGTGATACTCAGTGTAACACTTACACGGCATGCCTTACTCCAGTTCTCACTTTCATGTAGTTCATTCCTGTTCTATCCTTCCGATTTAAGTCTTCCAACTTCGGCTGGCCTAACCAAGAGATCTGCATCTGAGGACTAAGAGAGGGTACTATTATTCATTTTGTGGTAGCAGATGATAAATTTAGTAATAAGCTCTATGCTAAGAAAGTCATGGATGGCTGACTCAATCCCCACGTAGGAGGAATTAGCTGGAATTACTCCAGTGCCTTTACAAAAAAGGCAGTAAGTTGCCCAAAGAGATCCCTAAGTCTCCAAGAGAAGCTGGCCGGGGCTACTTGGATGCTTAAACTATCTTTCATCCTTGTTCCCCAAATCTCTGCCAAACAAGGGTACTTCTCAGACCTCTGTGTCTTTGGCTGCTGCCCCACTCAAGGAATACCTACCTGGAGAGCAAGCCCCTAAGGAATAGAAAAGATGCTGGCATGACATCTGAAAGCTCTCCAGAGTTGAATAAGGAAGAGTATAACACCTTTTCTCAGTTTGTTATGGGGTCAAATCTCCCTCTGTACTCTCTACTTACTGGCACATGGGAACTTGCATAAACATGCCTCTTGGGAATTTTATAGGATGTAAAACTTCAGTGATTTTTAGCCTATAAAATCTGTCACATGAAATTCTAAGTAGCTTGTCTTTATATCATGTGGGGCTAACCACCTTGATTAAACCTATAAACCTAGAGCAGGGAAAAGAAGGTAGACCACAGCCAAAGGGGCTGACAAGTGGTAAGGTGAGGGAGACAAGGCAGGCTGCTCAAACAAGGAGAACCCACCCTGTAGGAAGAGATGTGAGGATACTGGTGAGGTAATGTGTCTAGGGATGCTTGTCATAAGGCAAACCACCTTCTAGGACATTCAGCAGCATAAGAATTCCCAGTTATACCATGGCTGACAACAATTATCCTCTCAGGTTTGAAGAAAGGCAGATACTTTAAAAAGCAATGGGGTTGTTATAAAACCCAGGATCTGAATACTTCTAATATTGCCTTTTTCCATTTTCAGCCTACTAAATTTGTTGAGTTCAAGGGAGAATTCTCCCTTTTATCCATCAGAGTAACTTACAACATTACCTCACTATACATAGATACATAAATGAGGAGCTAAGAGAATTTCAAAGTTGGATGGAAAACAACAAAAAGTTAAGATTTTTATTGCAGAACTCACACCATCACCATGCCTTCTCTGTATTTTTCAGAGCCTTGTATACTTGAAAACATTTTAATTGCTAGTGTGGGGAAAAGGTAAGACCTTGATTCTGTCTTAGAGAGCAACTACTCTCAGAATTTATCAAATAAGATCTTAAAAATTCTTAATCCATGAACAGTTTAAAATATAAATGTAACCAAGTTAAAATACTATTAATTATGTAAATGGATGATAAAGGTAATACCAAGTCTATATATGTGGTGTTCAGACTACTGATAACTTAGCAGAGGCTCTCACAGGTTCTCTTGCCAAAGAAGTAAACTTCGCTATCTTCTTGGCAAGTCCCTGAGAAGAAATAAATCTGCCCAATGAAAATGCAAACTCTGACTAAAATTAGCACTTAGTGAGACACTATGCATTTAAAGATCTGTGAACTTTGAGGAACTGGTATCCACAATGTTTTTAGACTTTTTATAGATCTTCTCATATAAATTATCCCTATTTGTAGCTTTGTTTTCTTGCAAACTGACTAGCTATATGCTTTGATGAATAAATCAAGTTTTTCTTAAATAGTTTAACAGTTAAAGGTTTTATGCCAAGAAAACAAATTTTTACTACTTACTTGTGTAAAAAGTCTGGTTCAGAACCATGTTCAGACTCAGGTTCTTGAATCTGCTCTCCCATGGGCCGGCTATTCTCCCGCAGTACAGTGGAAGTGAGTTGTGGTGCTGGCAGGGGGCCAGGAGTCTGAATCATGGTGTCAGTCCTGTTTAGCCATGTGTTATCCAGACTCTCATCTATAAAATTCCAGTTAGAGTCACAGAACGTTATGGGTGGAACGAACTCTGACAGCAGTTATAGCATAGACCTGAAGAGCATGGCTCTGTAGTTAGGCTGCCGAGTGTGAATCCTAGTTCCACTACTTACTTATGTGACCTTTGTATAAGTTATTAAACTTCCAAAGTTTTCCCATATATAAAATGGGGATATCGGTACCTAACCCAACCGAGTTGGGAGGATTAAATGAGGTAACGTATGTAATGATCAAATGTTAGCTATCATCACATTATCATCTTTTCAAGTCCTACCATCTCTCAGGATTCATTTACCCTAGAAGGGGAAGAGTGGGACCAGACATAGACCTCTCCAACTTTCCTTTGCTCAAGTAATAAAGGGCCTATTTCCTGGGCCTCACAGGGGCCCCAGGAAGTACTACTTAAAACCTGGCTAGCCATTATGGAGAAATCAGCACATCTCTTTGCACAATTGGACACTGGTCACCAGAGAAATAACTCTTTCTGCCAGGTTATACACGTGGAGATGGGTAGAGAGGCTCACTGTTTTCATGCCTCTGAGTCCTCAGGGAAGCTTTCCCCGATCGCCCCACCCAGCCCTCACTTACCATCTTCTTATAACTTCTAGAGGAAATATAATCATTCCTGCTCACTTAGGACTTAACCACATACTATCCTGCATGAGCAGTTATGTGATTTGTCAGGTGTACAAATTATCTTTGTAATTAGATTTAAGTTCCTTCAAGGGGCCAGGAACTGTTTTTCCCTTCTTCTGAAGATGGTTTATAAAGAGCTGATTAAAGCATTATGTCTATATCTAAACTATCCTGATAAAATATTACATAATTATAAAGTTTCTGGCAGGCATGGTAGCTCATGCCTGTAATCCCAGCATTTTAGGAAGCTGAGGCAGGAGGATGGATTGAGGCCAGGAGTCCAAGACCAGCCTGGGCAACATAGTGAGGCTCCATCTCTATTAAAAAAAAAAAAATTAGCTGGACCTGGTGACACATGCCTGTAGTCCTAGCTACTCAGGAGGTGGAGGCAGGAGGACTGCTTGAGCCCAGGAGTTCAAGGTTACAGTGAGCTATGACTGCGCCACTGCCCTCCAGCCTGGGCAGAAGAGACACTCTCTCTCTTAAAAGAAAAAGTTACTACTTATAAAAATTCTAAATTATTTTAATATGAGAAGGCTTTTAAAAAACTATTATGGCTATGGTATTCCTTCTGAAGAATTTTAATCACAAACTTTAGTATGATTCCTGTTGTTTTTCCTCTTCCTATTAGGTCTCAGAGATGTGTACATGTTAGGTTCCTCATTTGCCAGCAAGCATTCCATCTCTCTCAGTGTATTTCTCAGGTTTCTGATATTTTGTCAGACACACATGTACCTTCTGGATTGGCTTTTCTGTCCCTCGAAGTACCTACCCATTGTGTGATTAAGGTCATTCCACTGATCTGAAACTCACAACTGAATCTCTTAGTTAATCAACAAAAATGTGTTTTATTATCTTCTAATCATACTTTTCATTCCACATTTAATTACAAACTTTTATAATTTTATGATACTTAAAATTTTATGATAAAAAGATTAGTATCATTTAGGTTCTGAACATGGTAAACTCATCTGTTGGCCCTCTAATACATGTCACTTTTTTTCTAGAAAATCTTTCTGGATTCATTCAGGGGTAGGGAACATGTGGCCTGAAGGCTACATGTGGCCTTCTAGGTCCTTAAGTGCAGCCTTTTGACTGAATCCAAATTTTACAGAACAAATTCTTTATTAAAAATGGTGCAGCAGAGAAAAATGAAGCTTTTCTTGCCTCCTTTGATGCTTAAAAAAGAACCATCTTGAAATCAGAAGGCTGCAGGTTCCCCACCCTTGCCGGGAGTCCCCATGCTGAAAAGCAAACTGCCTATTTCTCTTCTATCCCCATCTACACTACCAACTCTTTTGTTAATACCTAATCTATAGCACTTAGCACAGTTCTTAGGAAGGTGCTTGGCAGAGAATTACTGAATGAATGAATAATTTCAGGATGAACTCACTCTTCTTCAGTAGAAGAGTGAGTTCTAACCCTTTAAAAGATTCCTCGATGAAAACATTTCTTGTAATACTCTCTCATTTTCACCCCAAACAGATGACATTCGAGTGCCTAAGAGTTCTGGGCATGCAACTTATCTTTGTCATTTTGTAAATTTCAAATCAATACAGAGCAAGTTTTCTTTTTTGCAATTTAATAATTACCAAATTAGGTTATCTGGTCCATATATGCTTCCCTTAATCTTGAAGATAATAATTGACTGTTCCATTAGTGAATTATATATGGTTCTCTAAATTCTCTAGGCCTTAATTTCTTCTGTGTAAAATTTAGATAATAGTGTTGAACTTTGAGTTGACTTATAAAACCTTTATAGAGCACTTAGGTGCTAGTGACTGACCTAAGTGCTCTACAAGTATTAGTCAAATAAATGATTAAATGATATAATGCATGTAAAACATTCCTAGTACCTAATAAAGATTTCGTGAGTGCTGGCTAATAAGAATATTACACCGAAGAAAAGCTGTGAGTAGAGGGGAAGAACATTTATATATGGAACACTCTGATAGGGGCCACTCTAGAAGATATTTTCAAAGGAAAATGACTGGAGTCATTCTTTAGAGAAAAGTCCAAGATCCTACAGTACAAAGAGAGGATTTTATATTTTCATTCTCCAGACTATAAAGACTTTAAGTCCCAAAGCTGAAACTTGAAAGGAAATCTTAAACTTTGTGAAGAATTTGTTAAACTTTAACATTTAACACTAATTCTTTCACTCTCTTGAAATATAGATGCTGCCTAATCCACTGACTGATGCTAGATAAGAAGCATTACTATATAATGATGATAACATTCTGATAATAGCAGCTAACATTCATTGAATGCTACCTATGTATGTGTCAAACACTGTGCTCAGTACTGTGTGTACACTAAGTTGTTTTATTTGGAGTATCTCATTTAATATTCCAAGTAACTGACAGGATAGGTACTCTGATTATACTTCACTTGATCAATGATTGAAGCTTAAAGATTTTAAGTAATATGCTCAAAGGTCACACAGCTGATAAATGAGAAAGCAAGGTATGAATTCTGGAACTCTGATTTTAGAATTTGTGCTCTCCATCAATAGTCGATATTGCCTCCCCAATAAGGAAAAGAAACATTAGATTTAAATTCTAACTAATTTTGCCACAGATTTTAGCAAAACCCTTAGTGAGTCACTTTTTTAGGCAGCAGAGGTAAGATGATGAAAGACGAATAGAAAGTTGTAAAAAAGAGCAAGAGAGCAGGACTCAGATCACAGCCCTCCTCTCTTGGTTTGGAGAAAATTTGTGATGAGAAGCATGGAGAAGGGGGAAGATTATTTGAGGCAATAAGCATTTTTACACTGAGGCTTCTCTCAGTAAATTTAAGAGGTATGCTTTGTTTTAATAGAGTAATTTTTAGTCTGTTTGGACATGGGAACACCTACTATTGATCAGATTTTCATGACAATTCAATTTCCCATTCCCCATAGTCCAAGAGGGGTTATAAAACCAGATTTGGCCAATCACTGTCTTACATACAAAAATAAATTATTCAGCCAAGTGGTAGAACTGGAAAGCTACTCTAGTATTCAAATTGACTTATCTTGTTTAAAATTTTAATGTATTAGAGGATTATTGGGGGGTCAATTTTATAGACCTTCATTACTCTTTACTTTTTTTCTCTGTGTTTATTTCTTCTCTGCTCCATGCTTCTTCAAATACTTTTTCCTTGACTCTTTTCTTTCTTTCTTTCTTTTTTTAGAGGAGAAGGGGTGGGGTCTTACATGTTGCCTATATTATTCTCGAACTCCTGGGCTCAGGTGATCCTCCTGCCTCAGCTTCCCAGTAGCTAGGACTAAAGGTGCAAGCCACTGCACCTGGTTATCCTTGACCCTTTTCTGTCCCACTTTGTCTATTACAAACTTTTTCCTGAACATCTCAGGGTGTATCAAATATACAAGGAAACCATGTGCTTAACACTATTACCTTGCATCAACAGATTATTTGCCACTTTATTTATCCCATAAAACCAGGCAAACTGTTTGGCTCATAGTGTAAAGGCTGACTTACCTTCTACTCGCTTTTTATGAAGTGGGGGTCGTCCTTTCTTATTCCTTACTGAGGAGGTTTTGCTGCTGCTACTTCCACTGTTCACAGACATTCTATCATCTTCACCGCCAGTAACTAATGAATTTCTATAGGAGATGAGTGGAAGCCATACATCTTCTCTCCTTTCCATCATCTGCTCGGTAAGGAACTTCTCTAGGTAGGAATGACTAGAAACACAACACAAGCAGCAATGATTTTCAGGGAAGCAGTTCATGTATCACTTATTTAAATTTTTTGTCACCTGAGGATTTCTTTCTGCAGGTTTTGAAGAATGCCTACAGATACACATTGAACTGTTAATACTGGTAACCTTTGGAAAGAGAGGGACAGAGAATTTAAGGTTTTGTTTCACATCTTCCTGTAATACTTTAAAACAAGAGATATATCACTAAGGGTATGTGTAGTGTGTGTGTGTGGCGGGGGGCGGGGGATATGTCTCCTATATTTCTCCCTTTGCTTTTAAACAACAAAGTTCAAAAAACATCCAAAGTTTGGCTCAAAAAGATTACTGAATTTTCTTTTAATGTGTTCAAACCAGAGCAGGATTTCTGGAATGGTGAAGTGAGGAGGCTGGCATACCCTCTCCCCAACAAAATAACCTTTAACTGGTAAAAGTTATAAAACAGAATAATTTAAAGTCTTTGCAAATTATCTTAAGAGCATATAGCAAGTAGAGAAACATTTATTCAAGAAATCTAATATATCTTGGTAAGAATAGCAAGAGTTTGCAGCATTTGAACCCCTTGCAGCCCTGTTCCCTTTCCTTGTCCCCTCTCCCCCAGTACAGCTGTGTTTTGTGGAAACTTTACCCCAGGCAGGTGGCTGAGAAGATGGGGGCTCCCTCTCTCTCTAGTTTCTAGCCTAGGGCTACCCTGAAAGAAAGGAGCATACCATTTTCATTTCTCATCAGCCCCCAGCCCTGTGTTGTAGAAGCTCTATTCTGAAAAGCAACCAGGAGGAATAAGGCTCCTTTTTCCCACTTAGCCTCTACTCCTGGGGTAGAAACTCCCCCAGGCCTAGCTCCACTGGGGCGCTGAATGCCCTACCTCAGTTCTATTACAGAGTTCCATACCTGGAGAGACAAGCTAAGAACCCCGGGTTACCTGTACCTCCCCTGCTCAAAAAGCAGGGATGTTATCCTGAGAGAAAAGGGATGATGTCCTGTCTCATTTCATTCCTCCCCCTTTTTCCTTTAATGGCATAAAAGTTAAAGTTCTGTCCAGGGGCTGAGGCAGACTGTAAGAAAGAAGCTCTACAGCTCTGGAGGGGTGGTGGTAGGGTGTGGGAGGGCGGGGGCTGACTTTATTTGGAATGAAGAGTAGAAAATTCCCTTCCTAAGGGCATTGACAACACAGATCCTGATGGAGAGCAGTAAGAGGGTGCTGGTAGCTTTTTAATACTAGCAGCAACAAATGACAATGCGGAACGTCCAGAAGTTTAACAAAGAGACAGCAGAGAAGAACACTCCAGGGATCACAATCCTGGGATTGCTTAAGCCCAGGAGCTTGAGGCTACACTGAGCTATGACTGGGCCACTGCACTCCAACCTGGGTGAAAGACTGAGATCCTGCCTAAATAAATAAAATTTAAAAAAAAATCTTGAAAGTAGTAAGAGAAAATAATTCATTACATACAAAGGAAATCCAATAAAATTTGTCATGATTAATTGTCATTAGACCCACTGGAGGCCAGAAGGCAGTAGAATGACATAGTCAAAGTGCTAAAAGCCAAAAACTATCTAACAAGAATCTATCCAACACAACCATTTATCAAAACTAAAGACAAAATATACACCCAGATGAACAAAAGCTGAGAGAATCTGTTGCCAGCAGACCTGCCTTACAAGAAATACTAAAGGAAGTTCTTCAAGCTGAAAAATGACACCAGAGGGTAACTGAATTTACATGAAAAACAAGAGTGCCAGTAAAGGTAATTAGTAGGTAGTTATAAAAGATAGTATAATTACATATTTACTCATCCTTTCTCAACTGATTTAAAAAGCAATTGTATAGAACAATACGTATATTACTATGTTGTTGAGCCCATAACATAGCAATGTAGTATCTTTGACAATAATCACAAAAATGGTGAGAGAGAAGTTGTATTAAAGTATGGGAATGACAGCAGATGGCAATTCAAATCCATAGGAAGAAATAAAGAGAACCAGAAATGGTAAATAGGAAGGTTAATATAACAAACTCTCTAAATATATACTTTCTTTTCTCAGTTTCTTTAAAAAATACAAGATTACCTCAAGTAATAATTACAACAATGTATTACTTGGTTTGTAATATATAGATGTACTATCTATAACAATCACACAAAAAAGGGAGGGAGGAAATGGAGTTAGAATTAAAGCTTCTACATTTCCTTAGAATACATCTAAAGTAAATTTTGATAAGATGTGTATTGTAAGGCCTAGAGAAAAACCACTAAGAAAAATAACTTAAGGAATATAATTAAATATCATTAAAGGAATTAATATGTTACACTAGAAAATATCCACTTAATATAAACGAAGACAGTAAAGGAAAAAGAACAACAAAAAACCCCCCACAAAACATATAGAAAACAAAAAGTATAATAGCAGAGATTGTCAGGTTGATTAAGAAAAAAAAACACAAACCAACTTGCTGTCTACAAGAAACACATTAGATTCAAAGACACAAAAGCAGAAAGTAAAAGGATGGAGAAAAGGTATACCATGCAAACAGTAACCAAAATAAAGCTGGAATGGTTATACTATTAATAATATCAGACAAAACAGACTTTAAGACAAAAATTATAGAGACAAAGAATGACATTTTGGAATAACAGTCAACTGATTTGGAAGATATAACAATTAAAAATGTATAGGAACACATGGGCACAAAGAGATATAAAGGACATTGGAAACCAACAAGGGCGAAGTGTGGAGTGTGGTGAGGGATAAAAACTTACATGTTGGGTATAATGAACACTATTCTGGTGATGGGCACACCAAAAACCCTGACTTAAGCATTATACAAGGTAACCATGCACCAAAACATTTATACCCCCATAATATTTTGAAATAATTAAAAAAATGCATATATACCTAACAACAGAGTACCAAAATACATGATGCAAAAACTGACAGAATTGAAGGGACACATAGACAATTCAATAATAATAGTTGGAGACTTCAATACCCCACTTTGAAAAACAGACAGGACAACTAAGCAAAAGATTAAAAAGTAAACAAAAGACTTGAAAAACACTATAAACAAAACTAGAAGCCAACTAGACTATAAGACATTTACAGAACAAAACTCCACCCAACAATAGAAGAATTAACACATTCCTCTCAAGCATACATGGAACACTGTCCAGGATAAACCATATGCTGGTCCATATAACAAGCCCCCATAAATTTAATTTTTATTTTATTTTTATATTTTATAATTTTTATTTATTATTTAAATCTAATCAAGTAAAGCAGTGAGAGTGGAGAAGGAACAAAGGATTCTGTAACTGGTTCTGATCAATTAGTTGTAAACATAAATTTAAAAAGATTAAAATCATACGATGCATGCTTTCTGACCATAATGGAATGAAATCAGAATCAATAACAGAAGGAAAATTTAGAAATTCAGAAATAATGTGAAAATTAAAATACTTCTAAATAACCAATAGGTTGAAAAAATAACAAGTGAAATGAGAAGATACTTTGAAATGAATAAAAATTGAAACGCAACCTACCAACACTTACAGGATGCAGCTAATGTTCAGAGGAAAATATACAGCTATAAATGCCTTTATTAAAAAAGTTTTCAAACCACTCTACTCCCACCAATACTCAACATCCATCATTCTCTATTACCCCATTTCAGCACCTGAAACTCTTATTTGTTTGCTTGCCTGTTTATATGTCCCCCCCACATTAGAACATAAGCTTTAGAATGATAGCTGACCATATTAGGAGCTTAATAAATATTTTCTGACCAACATGAAGTCAACATCTTTCCATAGAACTATCACTTATACTCATATAAGCATTAACTGTCTCTCCAAATTTCTTTTTATTTAGAATATTATAACTGACTTTCCTTCCTATCAATTTTATAAATATCATCTTATTTTCTTATAAACGTTTAATCATTACAGTATCATCCTTTTGTAAAGTTTCTAGTTTGGTTCTAAGTAAAATTTATCCCATCAAAATTTACTTTTGAAAACTATATATATATTTCTTTAAACTGTTATCAGTGATCACAAAAAGCAAACGAGAACAAAAAATCAATCTTTTGAAACAAGTCAAATAAAATAGAAAATAAAATGAAATTAAAAGGAAAGAAGGAAGGGTTACACAATGGCTAAGCCAATGTTGATACACCTTTGAATTGCAGAATAAGAAATCATTTCCGGCTTGACTGTTATTGGAGTATATGAATGCCACTGATTTCTGTGCATTAATTTTATATCCTGAAATTTTACTGAATTCATTTATCAATTCCAGGAGTCTCTTGGTTGAATCTTTGAGATTTTCTAGATATAATAGCATATTGTCTTTAAGGTATCTCCATATTGCTTTCCACAGAGGTTGCACTAATTTGCAGTCCCACCAGCAGTGTGAGTGTTCCTACCTCTCCGCATTCACGCCAACATTTATTGTTTTGGGTCTTTTTGATAAAGGACAGTCTCACTGGAGATAGGTGATATCTCATTGTGGTTTTGATTTGCATTTCCCTGATGATTAGAGATGTTGAGCATTTTTTCATATGTTTTTTGGCCATTTTTCCGTCTTCTTTTGCAAAGTTTCTGTTCATATCCTTTGCCCACTTTTTGATAGGGCTGTTTGATTTTTGGAGATACAAGTAGAACTACCATTTGACCCAGCAATCCCATTACTGGGCATCTACCCAAAAGAGCAAAAGTGGCTCTGTGAAAAAGACACCTGCACTCGAATGTTCATAGCAGCACAATTCACAATTGCAAAGATGTGGAAACAACCCAAGTGTCCATCAATACATGAGTGGATTAATAAACTGTGGTATATGTATACCATGGAGTACTATTCAGCTTTAAGAAACAATGGTGATATAGCACATTTTATATACTCCTGGAAAGCGCTGGAACACATTCTACTAAGCGAGGTATCCCAAGAATGGAAAAACAAACACCACATGTACTCCCCATCAAACTGGTATTAGCTGATCAACATTTAAGTGCACATATAAGAATAACATGTATTAGATGTTGGGCAGGGGGAGGGGGGAGGAGGGAGGAGGGGACGGGCATATGCACAAACAAGGAGTGTGATGCGCACCTCCAGGGGAATGGACACACTTGAAGCTAGGACTTGGGGGGGAGGAAGGGTAAGGGCATCATACATAACCTAATCATCTGTACCCCCATAACATGCTGAAATAAAAAAAAAAAATAGCATATTGTCAGCAGAGAGTGAGAGTTTGACCTCTTCTGCCCCAATTTGGACACCCTTAATTCCCCTCTCTTGTCTGATTGCTCTGGCAAGGCCTTCCAGCACTATGTTGAATAGAAGCGGAGATAATAGGCAACATTGTCTAGTTCCTGTTCTAAGTGGGAATGCTTTCGGTTTTTCCCCATTCAGTATGGTATTGGTTATGGGTTTATCATATATGGCCTTAATAATTTTAAAGAATGTCCCATCTATGCCTATTTTGTTCAGAGTTTTTATCATAAAAGTGTGCTGGATTTTGTCAAATGCTTTTTCTGTGTCTATTGAGAATCTATGGTCTCTTGCTTTTATGTGGTGAATTACATTTATAGATTTGTGTATGTTGAACCAGCCTTGCATCTCTGGGATAAAGCCCACCTGATCATGATGAATTATTTTTTTGATGTGCTGTTGGAATTGATGTGCTAAGATTTTGTTGAGGATTTTTGCATCTATATTCATGAGGGATATTGGTCTGTAATTTTCTTTTCTTGTTTCGTCCTTTCCTGGCTTTGGTATCAAGGTGATATTGGCTTTGTAAAATGAACTGGGGAGGATGCCATCCTTCTCAAGGTTTTGGAGTAATTTCTGCAGTACAGGTATGAGTTCTTCTTTGTAGGTTTGGTAAAATTCAGGTGTGAACCCATCTGGTCCGGGACTTTTTTTTTTTTTTGGAAGATTTTTTATTGTTTCTCCAATTTCTGCGTTCGATATTGGTCTGTTCAGGAATTCTATTTCCTTCTGATTGAGCTTAGGGAGGCTGTGTGTTTCCAAGAATTTGTCCATTTCCTCCACATTTTGTAGTTTTTGGGCATACAGATTTTTACAGTATTCAAAGGTAATGTTTTATATTTCCGTGATGTCTGTAGTGACCTCTCCTTTTTCATTTCTGAATTAGTTTCTTAAAGTCCTTTCCTTTCTAGTTCTTGTCAATTGAGCAGAAGGGCTATCAATTTTGTTTATATTTTCGAAAAACTAACTTTTGGTTTTATTGGTCTTCTGTATAGTTTTTTTGTTCTCAATTTCATTTAGTTCTACTCTGATCTTAGTTACTTCTTTTCTTCTGCTAGATTTAGAATTAATTTGCTCTTCCTTGAGAGACAGTTTATTAGTATGTTGATTTGTGACCTTTCTGTCTGCTGGTCAGAGGGTGGTAGGAGGGGTAAACCCATAACTAATGGAAGTAGAACACACTATATGGGGGAGGGACATGCTTGTAGCCCTGGCTTTGGCGGTGCAAACACATTACAGTAACGAAAATGTCTGTACCCCCATGATATCCTAAATAAATAAAAAAAGAAAAAAGAAAAAAGAAAAAAATCATTTCCACCTGCTTAATTTCATTTTGAATATTCTAGAGTACTAAAAAGTACTCTAGAATATGCAGTGAAAGAACTATATAAATGCTTGGAAGAAAACTAAACTAGCTCCTTAAATTATCAGAGTCTAAATTATCAATAGTAATTATATCTAGATGACTAAAAATTTTTCTAAAAGTAAACATTTAAAATTACAATGGAATCATTATAAAACCACTTTTCTTATAATGTTCAACTTACACAGTCTTTTTGTCCTGTCGAAGAAGTTTAGAAGAAAATTCACTTAGTACTTCAAGAAAAGCCAGATTAGGAGGTGGATATTCTTGTCCTTTCTGATTTTGGTATTTAAAGGCAAACTCTATGCCATCCCTGAAGTAAAAGAAAATATCATCTTATTTTGCCAGATAGTATGGTATTCTCAGTGGGTTAAAATTACAAAAACATTTGGGAAGGTAGTGAAATCATCACTGAAGGTACTAAAATCTGATAAATTTAAGTGGTAGACTAATGTGAATATATGACATATTTGCATACATTTAATTTTATTACTTATAGTACAAAATTATAAGTTGTGAAAAATAAAAAAATAGCTACACAGCAACAAAACTAAATTTCTTTGAGTATTTTTTAGAGGTACCCTGGAAAGACAGATTGTCAGAAAATTTGCTTCTTGGAGCTGGTCATTGTATCAAGCAGCTATGTGAGTTTACAAAAAGTTTTCTGTAATGAGATTGACCAAATCAGTCTTTTTAAACCCATGTCTCCCACAACATTTTCTTACTGATAGACCAGACAAAAACATGCTGCTAAATTTTCCTTTCTATACATCGTAAGATGAAAAAAACCAGCTGGGAGTGGTGATTCATGCCTGTAATCCCAGCGCTTTGGGGGGCCGAGGCAGAAGGACTGTTTAAGGTCAGGAGTTTGAGACCAGCCTGAGCAATAGAGTTCATTTCTATTGCCTGAGCAATAGAAAAAATAGAAAAAATTAGCTGGGTGTGGTGGTGTGCACTTGTATCCCAGCTACTAGGGAGGCTGAGGCAGGAGGATCGCTTGAGCCCAGGAGTTTGAAGTTGTTGTGAGCTAGGCTGATGCCACAGCACTCTAGCCAGGGAAACAAGGCAAGACTCTGTTTCAAAATAAAAAAAAAAGAAAAGAAAAGAAAAAAAATGGCTAGTTTTAGTAAGTTTTTTTTCAAATTACAAATGCCATATTAGTTGAGAATCTTTAATCTAGATAATCTCTAACGTTCTTGTAACTAGA